TACAAACCTTTTCAAGTTTCTAGTTCTCTCTGTTCCCTCCCTTCTCTTTTTTTTCTTCTTCTTCTTCACATCCTTTGATAAAGGCAAATTTCCCTATTTTGAGGTTGAGAAAGGAAAAGAATACATTTTAAAAAAACCCACCTCAGGGACGTTATTTTTAAAAGAGAAACAAATATCGAGGCGCGCTCAGAGAAAGAAAGAACTCAAAAGAAAGGGTGAAAGAAGGAGCGGAGAGTTCAGCCCTGCATTTTGTGGAAAGGGGGGGACTTCTCTGCCTCAGTGAAAAAACCCCTATCTCGCTCTAGAAAGTTCTTGGGCGTGTGTTTGTTTGTTTACTGTTTGCTTGTTTGTTCGCTGGTTTGACTGGATCCGTTCGTCTTTTGGCAAAAGCAGGTGGCCGGTCTATAGAAAGGCAAGACTTTGGGCGCCAGCCTTCAACGGCGCTTAATTCGTATTTACGCCTCCAGGACCTAATTAAAGGCGCTTGCTCTCGGCCGAGGCGCTCTCCAAAAGCGGGGAGGCGGGCCGGCCGGTCCTTAAATTTGAGGGTGGGTTTTCCCGCCGTTTCGCCCCACCCCACCCCCTCCTTTCCCGTTTGCAAAAGATCTGATGGAAAGACGCGCCGTCCCAATTGAACGAAGGGCGAGAACTCAGCTCCCGAATCCCTCGTTCCTCTCCTCCCTCCTCTTCTTCTCACTTTTGGTTAAACCAAATACAGCTCCGCTCGCCTCTCCTGGGCGGCTTTTATTTTATTTTTATTTTACATATAGTTTCCAACCTCCCCCCCCCCCCCCCCTTTTTTTTTTTTTTTTGTCGCTGCGCGATTTGCTTGGCGCCCAACTTGCGAACAGCACTTTCCGCCTTAATTTGCCACATGCAAAACGACGCTTCGGCGTTTGCAAGTCGCTCTCCCCACACACACACACACCCCCTCCACCCCCCCCCTTTCCGCCCCCCCCCCCCACCCCCCCACCCCTCCTTCCCTTTGGAAGGGCTCTCCAGCAGAAGAAATCCAGGGTGTGCCTTAAATTGGAAAGGAGGGAAGGGGGGAGTTTCCTTTATTCTGCTCACCCCTCCCATCCGTCCAGACCTGGGCTGGAACGTTTGGCCGAGAAAAGAAACCCTCGCCCGCTTTCTGCCTCCCTCTCGCTTCCCGCCTGCCTGCACGGTGGCCAAAATCCCGTGTCACTCGGCTTGAAGTGACTTCATGTGATGTCAGCTTGAAATGCCAGAGACGTTCGGGAAGATGCTGGCGATCCAGGTCTGACCGGGCGGCTACACTGCGGAGCTCGGATGCGTCGGGCAAAGGTAACTCACCCCACTCCCTCCCTCCTTCCTCCTCCTCCTCCTCCTTTTCCCCCTCCGCCTCTTGGGGTCACGTCGCCACTCTTAAGCGAAAGAGGTCGCGGGGTGGGCAGCCTTTGCCTCCCTCCCGCGTCCCCCCCCCTCCCACGCCCCGCAAATATCCCAGGCCGGGTCGTCTCGGCACCCGCACGGAAAGGCTGCAGAGTTTGCCGGCGACTTTTTTCTTTTTTGTTTTAATCTGGCGCGCGTTCTGCTGAATGAATGAGCAGCGGTCTGGTCCCCCCTGCGCGCAGCCGGTTCATTTGAATGTAAAAGGGAGGAGGGGATGCGGGGGGCGCGAGAGAGGCGGTAAACGAGCGAGGGAGAGAAAGAAAGGAAGAAAAGAGGCGCTTATTAAAATGGATATTTGCCTGCAAGACTGAGCTGAGGACTGAGCCGAATTGGGCTTGACTTCTCGGCTTCTTCTTCTTTTTCCTTCTTCTTCTTCTTCTTCTTCCCGGTTCTTCTTGCTCTGTCCATTTTTATGGGCGACCTCCGGCTTCGGATCCCCACTTTTGCCGTCCTTCTTCCCCTTCCTTCCCGCTCTCCCCGTAGAGATGGCCTCGTCGGCTTCCCTGGAGACGGTCATGCCATCCGCCTGCATCCGGACCGGAGCCGCCAACCCCGCCAAGAGTTTGGCCTTCTCCATCGAGCGGATCATGGCCAAGGGCTCGGAGCCTCACCACAAACCCGCCGCCGCTGCCGCCGCCGCCGCCTTCGAGGTCAGGCCGAGCGAATCTCCCGCCAAGAAGCTGCTAAGCCTCTGCTCGCCTCTGCCCGGCGTGATCCCGGTCCAGCCCCTGCCGGCCTACGAGATGCCCTCCAAGGCGCTGCTCAACTGCTCGGAGCTCTGGAAAGGTAGCTTGCGGCACTGTGGGGCGGCGGCGGCGGCGTTGGGCGGCTCGACCGGCGCCTTTTGCAAGAGCAACTGCGGCGCTTGCTACAAAGGGGAGCTGCCGCCTCCGCCTCTCCTGGGCCAAGCCGCCTTGCCGGGGGCCGGCCGGGTGATCAAACCCCAGGTCATCCACCAGACTGTGGCCCTGCCGGCCAACGGATCTAGCCTCTACTACTTCAACTGCCTGGACTCTTCCGCCTACCACCCGTCGGAGATCCTCCAGGGCCAACTCTTCGCCTCCGGCCTTCTGCATTCTCCCAGCCCGGCCGCCGCGGCGGCGGCTGCTGCAGCCGCCCTATCCGCGCATCAGAAACTCTTTCTGCTGGAAAACGCCAAGTTGGCCGCTTTGGCCCCGCCGGAGAAGTTCTCCAACCCCCAGTACCCCCACAAAGAGCGCCTCCCTGGCCAGCTAGACCAGGTGGTGAAGGAGAACTCCAGCCTGGCCGTCGAGAGGCCCGGCGGGAAAGCCCACCACCACCACGCCAAGCTGGGCGCGGGGTCAGGCGGCGGAGGCGGCACCTCGGCCGACGGGAAGCCCAAAAACTTCACCTGCGAAGTGTGCGGCAAGGTACGGGACGGTTTTCTCCGGCTTACCGGGAAGAGAGGGCCATCTTTAGGCTTCTCCGTTACTCCTAGGTGACCCACCCACCCTCATAGCTCCCTGATTATTACTGTGCTGAGGAATGAATTGGGCGGGGGGGGGAAACGGGCCTCCTCGCACGCCTCCTACATTGATGTGCCAGGCCATCCTGTCCAAAGTGAGGTTTCAAATTCTCTCCCTCTGTCTCTCTCTCTCTTTCTCACTCTCTCTCTCTCAAACACACACACACACACAACACACACACGCAGGGTCTTCGTCCTGGCCTCTTTGCAATCTTAGGCGGTCCAGATAGTTCATAGCTTGATCGCCTAAGATTGGCACCCACGGCTCCGCAACCCCACGTGCGCTTCCGTTTTTGCAAAGGGTGAAAGGCGGCCCTCGAGGTTAAGGGGAAGACAGCAGGGTCCGAGGCGGGGGTTGAGACATTAAAACGAAACATCAGATCGAGCCTTTTAGCCCACTTCGGGCTGGCTGGCCTGCCGACTGGCCGGCTTAGAAAGGCTAAACGTGGCGGAGAGCTCCGTATTCCGGCCTAAAAAGTTTCCCTGCCTTGTCTTTCTTTTGTAGGTGTTCAACGCCCATTATAACCTAACCCGGCACATGCCTGTTCACACCGGAGCCAGGCCCTTCGTGTGCAAAGTTTGTGGGAAAGGTTTCCGTCAGGCCAGCACGCTCTGTAGGCATAAAATCATCCACACGCAGGTACGCTGGGTCTTAAAAGAGATACCCCTCCGATCGCTGTGTATTTCCGTTTTCCTAAAGGGAAAGAAAAAAAAGGAACGGAAACTGGGTGAATTAAGTGCCATACTTTTTTTAGGCAAAAACAAAAAACAAAAACGCCACGGGTAATTTTAAGAGCAGCCGCTAACTCTCCTTTTCCACCAACAGGAAAAGCCCCACAAGTGTAACCAATGTGGGAAAGCCTTCAATAGGAGTTCCACGCTAAACACTCACATTAGGATCCACGCCGGCTACAAACCGTTCGTCTGTGAATTTTGTGGCAAAGGATTTCATCAAAAAGGTATCTGGGCCGGGCAAATGTTCCCGACCTCTGTGCGTGCAACCGATTCATTTAAATCGCAAAAGACCTTATTGGAAGGGGGGGGGGGTTGTGGGAGGGTGGAAACGTTAAGAACCAGGGCGATTCTTTTTTTCGAGAGGAAAAGCCAGCTTGCCTTTTGCGCCTTGTATTGTTATTATTTTTTTTTCTTGACGGGGGAAAAAAAACACCACAAATTCGTTTTTGTAGAACGCCAAGTTGCAAACGGGAGATCGGCGTGTGTACGTGAGGGAGAATAGAAGAAGGTCGGGAAAAGAATTTCCCACCGATTTTTTTTTTCCATTAAGCGTCTGATCAAATTTCGGCTTTTTCAGAGGTTTCTTAATAGAACGTGGCGAACGTTCGGGATAGAATCTTGGGGTCTCGGCCATTCCAAAATGTAGCGGCAGAATTGAGCTGACTTTCAGGTTACCAGAAGGTGACCCTCCTCAAACGTCCCGAACTGGGGGGGGGGGGGAGAAGGAGGGGGGGTTGTTTTTTCTGGGCGGCAACGAAAGACTAGTTCAGTCCTGTAAAGTGGTCATTAAAAGGGGGGGGGGGGGGAGTAAATCCTGTCCTCTTAGGGCACGATCCCGCCAGAATGAAAGCACTTGGAAAGATAACAAAAATAACAACTCCTTTGGTGTCCGTGGGAGGCGAGCAAAGCCCATGTTTTCGCGCACCCGAGTTAAATCAAGCAAAAGGATAAAAATGCTGAACCTGGACTGAACCCTGTCCTTTGCCTGAAATTGAACCGGCAGAGAGGGCCCTTTTTTTCCCCCCAAACGGCGCCGCGAGAAAAAAAAAGGCCTTGGCAGTTTTTTCTTTCGCCATTCCCAAACTCGCTTCAACGGGAAGAGTTTGGGAAAAGAAACTTCCGAAAGAGCACGGCGCGGCTTTCCCCCCCCCGTACTTGCTAAGGAATTCCTCTGGCTTTCAGCGACACAATTTGTTAAGCTGGAGGCGTCGAGTCCCTTTCTCCTCCCCTCCCCTCCCCCCGCTCCCACCACCCCGGCCGATTCTCCCCCGTTTTGCCTCGGGTCAGGACGCTGACCCGGCCTCTAATTTTTTAATTCGTTAGTTGGCATCGCGGCGTGGCCCGTGACACAGAGTGAGTTTGACAACTTCTGGACTGTCCCCTTACTTTTCTAATGAAGCTCGTGCAAAAGAGGCCGTAGCCTACAAGGCCCGCGAAACCGGGCCCGAAAAAGCGGGGCTGGGGGGTGGGGGTGGAGGGGGCTGGGGTGGGGGGAGAGAGAGAGAGCGGTTGAGCTGCTGCTGCTGCCGCCGCCGCCGGCCTCAGACGCCGGGCTCCGCAACAGTTCCCTTCCCGCCAACAGAGATGTCTGAGAGAACTTGGGGAGGTTTTGAACTTGGCTCCTTTGCATCACTGGAGGTTTTCAGGAAGAGACAGGGCGACCACTTGGCTGAAATGGTAGAGGGTTTCCTAGAGATTGGGACTGACTTCGGTCCTCACTGTGAGTTGTGTTGGGAGATGGGGGGGGGTGCACGAAGGGAGCCTCGGGCGATCTCGTTGTACACATGTTGTACTCTGACAATAAAGGGTAAATAAGAATAATAGGGTTTCCTCCCTAAGCAAGGGGGCTGGACTAGAAGACCTCCAAGGTCCCTTCCAACTCGCTTATTCTATGACTAATGGTTATGATTGCTTTCGGTTATGATTGACCGGGCGGTTGTTTGAGAAGGATGTAAACTTGGGCTTTCTGCTAGTTCGCTTTGTGGTGTTGCAGAGTTCCTTGGTTCAGGATCTTTCGCTAAGACTCAAGGACAAAGTCAAGAATTGCCCATCTTTGCAATCTTCACCTCACTTTTGCTGACCCTCTCCCTTTTTTTCTTCTCTTTCTCTCCCTCTCCTCTCCTCTCTCTTTCTTTTTCTCTTTCTCTCCTCTCTTTCTCTTTCTTTCTCTCCCTCTCCTCTCCCTCTTTCTTTTTCTCTTCCTCTTTCTCTTTTTTCTTTCTCTTTTTCTTTCTCTCTCCCTCTCCTCTCTTTCTTTTTCTCTCTCCCTCTCCTCTCTCTTCCTCTCTCTTTTTTCTTTCTCTTTTTCTTTCATTCTCTCTCCCTCTCCTCTCTCTTTCTCTTTCTCTTTCTTTCTCTCTTTCTTTCTCTTTCTCTCTCCCTCTCCTCTCTTTCTCTTTCTCTCTCCTCTCTTTTTCTTGTTCTCTTTTTTCTTTCTCTTTCTCTCTCCCTCTCCTCTTTTTCTTTTTTTTCTTTCTCCCCCTCTCCTCTCTCCCTCTTTCTTTTTCTCTTTCTCCCTCTCCTCTCTTTCTCTTTCTCTTTTTTCTTTCTCTTTCTCTCTCCCTCTCCTCTCTTTTTCCCCTTTCTCTTTTTCTTTCTCTCCCTCTCCTCTCTCCCTCTTTTTTTCTCTTTCTCTTTCTCTCTCTCTCCCTCTCCTCTCTTTTTCTCTTTTTTCTTTCTCTTT